CCCAGTAGTCGCTCCAGCAGAGATGTTGCTGCTGGCCGCCGCCGGCCTCGTGGCCTTCGTGCTGCTCCTCTACATGGTGTCGCCGCTCATCAGCCCCAAGCCCCTCGCGCTGCCCGGCGCGCACGTAGTGGTGAGTGGCCTCCTGTTGCTGAGCTTGCCCAGGACTGCTCGGCCGGCTTGGGCCACCGAGACCACGGTCCCGGAAAGGGACGGTTGAGTAGGGCGGGTTACCTGCTGCCTTCGTCACTGCCCAGCCCTGTCCGACCTCAGGAACCCGCCCTCCGCGGCGCCGGGCTACAGGGCAGTGCCGTGGGGAACGCGCCAGCCGAGTTTCCAGGGCTCTGGGGCTCTGTGCAGCTCGCTGATCCCTGGAGCATCCCTGTCTGCGACTGTTTGATCTTCAGTTTTCCCGATGAGTCAACAGAGACTGAGAAACTTTGCCAAGGACGCGGCAGTCCGTGACTAGCAGGATAAGGGCGCAAACCCGGGTGGGAGCAGCCACAGCCAGGGAATCCTAAGGAGCCCACAGCAAGGAACAGTCCGGGCCTCTGGGTCTGGCCCAGGCAGCTGAGACTCTAGGGTGTCATGTGCAGGTGACAAAGAGCCATCAGAGGGTTCTAGGAAGTGTGATACACCTGAGGGGGTGGCCTGGCTGGTTGGACAAGCAGGCTTGTCTCTGAACTCAGCCCGGACTCTGCTGAGTACTGCTCTAGTGCAATCCTTTACCATCTTTCCGGCGTCGGAAGGATGAGCTAACCAGCTTGGTTAGGGCCTTAAGATGGAAGGAGATATGAGCGATTTGGTTTGTTAATGTCCGGAAGCTCTCACGTTCCTAATATGCAGGCTTGGCTATGCTTCCACCGCGCCCCACAGCTCAGAGCTTCTTCTACCCTGGCATTTCTCATCGGTGTCCTATATAGACCTCAAAACCTGAGGCATGCCGAGTTGTGAGTAAGGACAGCTAGAATCTAAACTGGAGGCATGGATCTCCGTGGTGCCCTTAGGTGACTTACATGAATGAGTCCATCAAGTGAGTCCCCACTCAGTTGTTACAGGATAGGGCGGTTACTTATCTTAGTGTGCTTTATCCCAAACAAGGGTTTGTGGATGGCAACCTGTGTTTCCGTTAATTTGTCTTTTGTAAAATTACTGGTTTATTCCCAGCTGCTGCTGTGCCTGATGTGAGAAGAGTTTACTAGAAACAGAAAGCCAAACTTTACAATCACTCCAAGTTTTTAAAGTTTTACACCCACAAGACAGCTACTTCAAAATCGGGACTAAAACCGTTGAACTTAAGGGCTGGGGAAATGGTCCAGTTGGTAAAGTGCTTGCATACATCATGTCCCGAGTTAGGGTCCCCAGCACCCACATGCTCACTGGGCCTGTGCCTCTAACTTCAAGGCCAGAAGATCCACAACACTGGGGCCAAGACCTGTGGATCCCTGGAGCTTGCAGGCCAGCTTGCTTAGACACAGGAGTGACTTTCAGGTTCAGGGAGAAGCCTTGTCTCAAAAATTAAGGTGCAGGGTGAGTGAAGTGCCAGATGCTGACTGTTGGCCTCTGCACAGGTGCACATACACAAAGCAGAATTAACCTGTGCTTGGATAGAGCCCCTCAGCTATGAGGCAAGGAGGAGAGCCCCAGTCAGGATGGAAACTGATTCAACATTTACACGGTACTCACAGCTAACCCTGGTACTCATTCATGTGTCCCCAGTCCTGTCTCTCACAGGGGACATGAGGGCTGTTTCAATAGACACATACTTTTTTCCCCAACATAATATTTTTATTGATTCTTTGGGAATTTTACATAATGCACCCTAGCACACTCACTTTCCAGCCCTCCCGGGATCCTGCTTTAATACAATAAAAAATAATTCTCTCTATGCATATATGTATACTGGTCTATAAAGAACATGCCATGACTTATTCATATTGTGTCACTGTCTGCCTTTTTTAATATCTGAAGAGGAGTAAAATGTGATTTAGTTGAGATCTGGGATCGGGAGAGTGAGCTGAACCCTTTATTTTCTGCTTCGTTTTTAGAGCAGTTCCCATATGCTGGTGCCCTGTGTCTGACCACAGCAGCAAAGTTGTGCTGTCTTCTCAGCCACTAGATGCTGGTTTCAGTGTTCCCCCTTTTGGATGACTGAGAGTAGTGCTCCAAGCAGCAGGAAAGCTGCTGGTGCCCTTAGTAGGAGCCGTATGCTGTGGTTAAAGAGGCAGTGTCATTTACATGGTATTTGCAGTGATCAGTAAGAAGGTCTGATCAAGGAAGGGAAAATAAATGGTTATCTTTGATGCCCTCTGTTTAGTAATACTGTACGTTTAACATTCTCTCAGCCGCTGTGAAAAATCCTATGACGGTTCTCGTAGCGTCCAGAAGAACATAGTCCAGAATTAGCCTAACTCTATTCTTAAATGCCATTCAAGAGTTAGCTGCCTTGGGTACATCATTTTTAATACACCTCGATCCCAAAGCCAGGTCTCCCTCCTGTTGTGAGAAAGTGACACTGTTTGCTTTCCTGAAGCCCCTGGCTAGTGTCTACATAATACATCAGAGCATATTACATGTCTTGGTAACCTCCTTCCTACCTCCATAGCTTTGGCATTGTTTTTTTGTTGTTGTTTGTTTGTTTTTGATTTTTTCTTTTTAATGGAAGTGACATTAGAGAACGTTCTGCAAACTAAGGAAAAGTATTTATTTAGTGCCTGCTTGTGCAGGGGGCTGGTATTGTCTGTGTGATGCATGAGACGGGCTGGCTTAGTGTTTGTCCACAGGAACTATGAGTTCAGCCAGGGAGCCAGGATATATCCCAATCATATGCAAGCTACATGGTGACCAGCCAGGAGGACTGACCGATGTGTTAAGGGAAGGCACCCATAGGGCTTGGAAGAGCTGCTGTGGGGTGATGTGTGATACAGGGAAGCTAAACAGCTGAAGGCAGCATTGTAAAGCATGTGAGGGAAACTTTTAGAGGCCCTGCCAAGTACTGTGAAGAGTGAAAGTTTCAAACAGCCCATAAGATATCCTGATATCAGAGACCTCAGAGACAAGAGTCAGCCGAGGTGACAGGTATGCTTTTGTAATAATCCTCAGTAGACATTTGGTTAATGATCTACCAAGTAAATCTCTCCATTAGAACCAAGGGAGGACTAAAGGGAAGTGACGTATGCTCAAGAACACAGAGAAGCATAGCTATGCTTGGAGGGCTTCATGGCGATAGGAACATGAGAGTGTGCGAGATGTCTTCTCTGTGTGGTTCTGAGGTAATAAAATATTCAAAGTAATCCAGATGTCTGACTAGAGAATGGCTAGGTTTTGACGAAAGAGATTTTTGTTTTGCTTCTGTTTTTGATACAGGGTCTCACTATATAGACATGCTGGCTTTGAATTTACTGTGGAGATCAGAATGGCTTGAGTTCGGACAGATCTGCCTGCCTCTTCCTCCAGAGTTCCTCCAGAGTGGTGTGCCACCACTACTATGCCTGGCCTGGATGGAGCTCTTTAAATACAGTATTGTGAAGCCTTTTAGTTTTCAGCATTGACACCATTCATTCATTCTCTGTCTGTCTGTCTCTCTCTCTCTCATTCCTTCACATACACACACACACACACACACACACGCACACGCGCACGCACGCACGCACGCACGCACTAAGATCAAGCCCAAGGCCTTACCTGTGCTAGGTAAGAGAGCTCTTCCACGGTCCTCCATCCTTAAGTCTCTAACATGTTTTTACGTAGACCTAGCCTCACGTAGATGTGCTGGAAGGAAATGAGATTCGTTTGTGTTTATAATCAGCAGTGCTAATGTATTATTTCTTAGCTATAATTGTAGGGCACGTTCCCTTTGGTGACCTGAAACAATTTTAGATGAACAGTTTATAGCTCAGCGCTAGAGGAAAAAAAAAACGGTCAAAGCTCGGAGGGCCTGCTGAGAGTGTAATCTTTGATGCTTACACTGCATTCCAAATGACAAATCTGGTAGGAGGTTGTGGTTCTTTGAGACGTTTTGTTTTGTTTCTGACACAGAGCCTCATGTAAACCATGAAACTGTCCTTGAGACTGGCCGGCTTCAACCTTGACCTGCAGACACACCCCCTGATGAATTTTTAAAACTCATAATTAGGTTATAGTCCTTTGTAGTACTGGAGATCCAACTTGGGGCCTCACCTAGGCAAGTGCCTGCACTGAGCTACGCCCCTACCACTCCCAGCAGCACAAGTATTTCAAGTAGACTTTGTACTGAGGAGACATTGCGAGTGCTAAGATGGTCTTGCTCATGTTCTCTGTAGGTCACGGGAGGTTCCAGTGGCATTGGAAAGTGTGTTGCTATTGAGTGCTACAAACAAGGAGCGTTTATAACTCTGGTTGCACGAAATGAGGTAAGTGCTCTAGACTCTTCATGACAAATGTGGGAAGTCCAAGAGACCTGTCTTAGTGCTCACAGCCGTGTCAAGACTAGGTGTCATATCTGTCATTTTTCTCTGTGATTTGCTTATGACAAGATAGGCATCTTTGATAGAGTCCCCAAACCCCAGAAGAGTTTCATCCTTTCAAGTACATGTAGCAAAGTAATTTTTCCTGTGTCTAAACAATCAGTGGTCTGTTTTTCTTTGTATTGGGGTCTGTAGTCTTACCAAAATTGCTTTTGGAGCATGAAGCAGTGACTGAAGATGCCCTTTGTACCTCTTCGGGGTCTAGGGCAAAGACCCTGGCCTCGTGGTCAAAAGGTCGGCCTTGCTTGCCATGGAGCAGACATTGTGTTGAGTGAAAAAAAAAAAATGAAAGAAGAGGAGCTTGGGGTGTGCTCAGTGGGTTCAGCACTTATCCGGGGTGAATGAACCCTAGCTCTAGGGAGGTGCAGGCAGAAGGATCAAAAGTTCAAGACCGTCCTCTGCTATACAGCTAAGGAGAGTCTAGCCTGGCCTATGTGAGACCCTGCATTCAGGGAGAGGGAAGAGAAAGAAAATGAGATGTGCTTCAGGGGTTAGCTGTCTAGGTAGAGTGGTTAGTTGAAAAAGGGTCTAGTGGGGAAGGCAGGCTAGAAAGGATCTCTGGACAAAATACATAAAGATAATGACCCAAATTAGGCTAAAATATCCATCATTTCTTTAAAAAACAAGAAAATGTTTTCTTGGGGGCTGGAGAGATGGCTCAGTGGTTAAGAGCACTGACTGCTCTTCCAGAGGTCCTGAGTTCAATTCCCAGCAACCACATGGTGGCTCACAACCATCTGTAATGGGATCTGATGCCCTCTTATGGGGTGTCTGAAGACAGCAACAGTGTACTCATAAATAAAAATAAATAAATTAATTAATTAAAAAAAAAAAAAGAAAATGTTTTCTTAAAAAAAATTATAGCTTGGTTGTACATGCTTTAAAGTCACCGTACACAAACAGAACCACGGAGTCAGGCCACTTTGGAGTTTTTAGCAGGGCTAGAATTTGACGTGAGACCTTGAGTGAGCAGCTGGGGTGCTGGTGTCACAGCTGGCTGGGACTTCATGCAGGGCCATGTGGGAGTGAGTATACAGAGAGCTTTCTGGCCTGAAGACGTTCTTTAGTTTCTTACGGGACTTTTCATTGCAGCCTTGTATTCGTCCCCGTCATTCGATAGCAATGTACTGTTTCGTCATGGTCGTTCATGTTTGTAAACTCTACTTGTGCTTTGAAGATACCTGCCAGACCACCCCACCCCTCTATGACATAGGGTCTCGAGTATCATGGGCTAACCTGGAACTCTGTAGCAGAAAATGTCCTTGCCAGATACGTGGGTTCCTCCAGGCTTGGTTTTATCCTTTCTGGAGATTGAACCCCAGGTTTCATGCATGCTGGCACCTTCTCCTTTGTTCTTCTACAGTTCTCAAATTATATTTAAATTTATGAAAAGATTAAGGTTCTATAAACTCAAATCTGTTTTTAGGAGAATAAGCAAAACAAAATGGAAGACATGGGAAAACTTTGCAATTATCTGGGTAGCTTCGCAGGTCTGAGGAGCATTTTTGAAAATAGGCAGATGTAGATTTTTCTATCTAGTCTTTGTAAGAAGTGATCCACTTTTACTTGAGGTTGAATCGAAAGGAACAAACTGCTGATGTTATCTTACAAAGGCCCTCCTGATGTGGAATCGGTCGTACGCCTTAGCTTTCCAGAGCATTTTGTTGCTGTGTGCTTACTCTGTGTCACTGGTAACAGGTGGGAAGGAAAATGTCTTCCAGCTTCAACAGGCTGACCTTCAACATGACTGTGGCTGAGACGGATGGGAGCGTCATTTCTTTTTCTCCGTCTCTTTGAAATGGATTTGAACCCTGCTGTGACTTATCTGTACTCTCATCTGTTTTTCCTCATCTTCCTCAGGCTGACAGTTCTGTTTTATAGAATGCAGTGTCTCTTCAAATGTTGCTTTTTCTTTTCTTTTTAACAAACGCAGACAGACATATTTTTTTCCTGTATTGCTTTTAGGACAAGCTACTGCAGGCGAAGAAAGAAATTGAAAAGCACTCTATTAACGATAAACAGGTAAAGCGGGGCCTAAGGACGCATTTGCTTTCCTGATTGACACCGTTCTTTAACGGGGAGGGAGGATGTTGTTTTCACTGCAACTAGATCACTGAAGGCATTTACGATTTTCACAGTTAAAATATATTGTAGGCTGCTTTTTATAAGATGAAACTGTTTGAAATGATTAGGGTTCAGGTCAGTCAGTACAGAAACCAGAAGGTCTGGTCTATCACACCTATGTAAAAATAGTCACCAGCGCTGTAGGAGAAAATGGTTTCATTTCACTTACTTTAAAACGAAAAAGAACGACTTACACAACTACTTAGGTGGAAAGGACTTTGAAAAGATGTTGTGTGATTTGGGGTGCTAAAATGATAATACACATGATGTATCTTTTAATGTACAACTCGGTGACAGGTTAACTTCTACAGATCCATCATTTAATCTAAAGGAATGGAATTTAAAGGAGTTCCTGACCCCTTTCTCCAGCCTTTGGGCCCAGTGCCAGCCTCTCGTTCCTGAAGGGCACCTTAAACCAGACTCTGATCTTGTTCATTCATTCTTTGCTTTTCGTTAAAATTTTACCATCTATAGTAGTATATATGCCCCTAAATAGTATTTTGTATGAGTATATATGTGCACCTGTGTGTACAGCCTGTACTGATATGCATGTACATATATGCACACCCTTAAGAAGCCACAGGCCAACATTGGGTGTCTTCTGTAATCTCTCTCCGTCTTTTTATTTATTTATTTTTGAAATAGGCTCTTTTGCTGAGCCTGGAGCTCATGAATTCAGCTAGACTTGCTGGGGATCTAAACACAGGGCCTCACGATAGCACCTTGCCAAGTAGCCATCTCAGCCCCCCTAAATAGAGTGCGCACGTGTGTGTGTGTGTGTGTGTGTGTGTGCGTGTAAAAATTTTAGAGTTCTGTATCTTTTTGAATTTTGACATTATTCTTATGTTCCTACGCTCTCTTAGTGAGACTGCATACAGTGTAGTCCTGTTTAAGACACCCACTTCCTGAGTTTTCACAAAGTTGTGCAACCATAACCACAGTCAGTTTGGAAACCTTCCCAACACTCAACTCTCCAGACTGCGTTAGCAGCCACACCCATTCCTGTCCTGCCTCTCCTAGCCCTAGCCAAGTACTGCTAACCCTTATAATTAGATGGACTGATGGACATTTTTATGCAGTTGTCTGCAACTTTATTTCTTCATTCTGTATTATTTTTAAAATTTATATGTGTTGCTGAATAAAATAGCTCATGTGTTTTTTTTTTTTGTTGTTGTTGTTGTTGAGATTCTTTCTGAGACTGTGCTGTCCAGCTAGACTCAGATTCCAGGACTGTTGTAGAAAGTTTAAATCCCAATCCAGGGTTTCTACTCTGCCTTTGATCACTCAGTTCCCAGATAAAAGACACACAACTTTTATTATTTACAATACGCCTTGAACAATACAAGAGCTGGGCAGATATCTATTATCTGTGCTATCAGGATCTATTTTCCTATCGATAACCCTGAGTTCTTACTTACTGTGTTTCATCTGGGCTGCTCTTAGCTCCAATTGGCCAGCCTCATAGCTGTTTTCTTGACTCCAAACCCATGGTGTCTTTCTCTTCTCCCCTTCTTCTCTGCACTGGAGGTTCTCCAACCCCCAAGCCCTGGAACCCTAAACCCCACCTATGTCTCTTCTGCCCAGCTGTTGGCTGTCGACCTCTTTATTTACCAATCAGAAATAACTTGGGGATAAGGCCACATAGCATCACTTGGGTCTGTGTATGGACCTGTCTCAGCCTGTTAACAGTATTGCCATATGTGTGTGTATATATATATATATGTGTATATGTATATATACATATGCATATATGCATAAATAATTGTACCCACGTTCACTTAGGTTTGTTATTGATATGTAACATGGAGTTGTAGTGTGAACTACTTTCACTTCCTGTTCTGTCATTGGCAGTTGTTTAATTTGCTCCCATATTTTTGTGTTGGTTGCTTGTTGCTGTCATGGCAACTTTTCTTTGTGCACAAGCTCAAAAGTGACTCTGTTGCTTTGGAGCCTTTGACAAGAGAAATCAAAGGTGTTTGACTCTTAATGGCTGGGAAATGGGGGGAAGGGGTGGGGAGCTTTCTTCAGTATCCTTTGTATCCTTCAAGGGCACACCTCAGTAGCCTGAATTCTTTTTATTATACACTACCTTTTAAAGGTTTCACCACCTTCCAATGATGCCAATGTACTAAGTAAGCCTTTAACACACTGGCGTTGGGAATACAGATTCTAGTACCAGACTTTCCAGGTGCCTGCCTGTTTGCTCTGGTACCCATCATCATGTCCCTTGCCACAGCCTCACCTAGGCATACTGCTTTGTGATAGGCTGTTTCTTGGCTGCCAGTGAAATGAGCCCATTTAAGCCAGATTAGAGTGTATTAAAGGCAGGTTTATTGAGAAGCCACTCTCCGGTGGGTGAGTTCCCTGGCTCCAAATACTGGGGCCACGAAAGTAGCCATGGGGAGGTAGAGAAGGGGAGGACTAGAGAAGGGGCACACAAACAGAGAGCGAAAAGGAGAAGGAGAGAGAGTGTACAAAATGTCTGGATTATATAGAGAGGAGCCTCTGGGGGAAGGGCAGCCCAGCCCCTGGACTGGAAAGTTCAGGATTGGGGGCAGGGTATTCCAGGTAGGGACTGAGGGATTCTGGGAGAACCTAGAGGCCAGGTCTGCTGTGGTATGTAAAATATGCACTTGTCCCACTCTGTCTCTAGTCCCAGGGTCCAGAACCAAACATCTCAGTCTTTTGTTGATTATAAAAGAATACGAGACCCCATAATCATCCATGACTGCTTCCTGCTGGCATTGGGGTGCAGTTTTAAATGTGGGAAAATGCTGGAATGTGGGACAAATCCGGGAAGAGTTACCTGCTTCACTGCTGCACAGGCTGTGGTACCATCAGGGGTAGGAATGTGAAGGTCCAGTTAAAGCAGTCTGTGAGACTGGGCCGGAGCACCTGTGGGTGACTGTTTTAGAGCTGGCCTGGATGCAGATTCTGAGAGAACACCTGGATGTTGGAAACAGAAGATATAATTTAGGGAGAAAAACTTTTTTTGGGGGGGGGATATACATTTGAAACACTTAGGGTCATGGTTGTGGGAGTTAGAGAAGGGGTAGGGTGGGGCCGGGACCAGGGAAAAGGGAATAGATCCCACCCTCAATCGACGGTACTTATCGAGAGTCCATTTGCCTGTGGGAGGCGGATTCGGGTGAATTCCCTGAAGCTTACAAGAATCTTTTTAAGTTTACAAAAAAGGTAAATCCTTTATAACTTCATTTACCCACATCAAAACACCTTCCTGGACCTTCACACAGTTTCTTAGGAGCTTACGGAAACTTTTCCTATCCAGGTATTTACCATGAGACACGGGTGGCTGACCACTGGATTTAAACCCCTCAGAAACCTGAGAATTATGTGTATAAATGTCCCATGTGTCAATTAGAATGACAAACTTACCCATTACCCAGCCACCCCACTAGGTTCCTGTTAATGTCAATGGCTGTGTTTGGGACACGGGTCCCAGGGCAGGATCAGTCTTAGGCTGGCTGCCAGGCCCAACAAATCTGAGAGGCCTTCCTGTGGAGGAGGAACTTGGGAGACTGACCTTGCTTTGACTTAAGCAACACGAGACACGTCTGGTGTCCATGTTTGTCCACAGTTCAGGCTGGGCCTCAGCAGCAGGTGAGACAGCGAGCAGTCCTTCTTAATGGTTGTTGTACCACAGTTAGGGTGGAGTCCTTTCTTGTGTGTCTGGATCTTCTTGGAGACCTTTCAGTGTCACTGCTAGGATTGGGGAGTCTACCATTTTAAGCATTATGTTTAAGATTTTAAATGTCATACTCCGAAGGTCTCTGACAAATTTGAGGGCAGTGCCTACTAAGCATATCTGGGTTAGACTATGTCTGTTTCTAATTACCTGTTCTAAACTGTACATCTAGCAAACATAAAACAGGAGCCTAAATAAAGCTTAAATAATGAGATGCATCTGTTCTCAACATGACTTTAGTGTTGCCCCTAAGAAAGATGGTGGTGAAGCCATAATTCAACCCTCTTTATTCCAAAGTCAAGATGGCGACCAATCACTTGTTGTTTACCCAGTGTGTATACATTATTTAGTTCACCATCACCATTGCAATCAATACCCCTGCAGCTGCAGCAGATGCTGGAGCCACAGGACAGACCAGAGGGGCGAGGAGGATGGGGCTAGGAGGAAGGGGCTAGCCCTGTGCTCAGTGTGGTGAAGGGAGAGTGGGAGAGCACAGCCTCCAAAAAGCTGGACACAGGGAATTCAGACCAATTTGAATACGTTATTTTGACTTAGATCCCGTGGCACCACCGACCTTCCCAGCGTTTGCTGGAATTCCCAACACTGTTGAATTGGCATCCCAATTCATAGTCTGAGATAAGACATCTCTGTATCAGAGGTTCCACCAAAACAAAGACCTGGTCTTTGTTCAGATGGGGCTAACTCTGGTGTGGCCTCAGCTCAGCAGAGAGAGCCCAGAGGGTCTCAGATCCAGATAGGAAATAGCTGGGGATGGGTACCCAAGGAGTCGGAAGAAATGATGTATTTCAGTGGAGAAGGATAGAGGAACAGAGTGGTCCCCACGTGGCCAGGAAATACCAGGACTTTCGAACTAGGGACTCAATTTCTCTCTGGTTCGGTGACATCTGATAGGTTATTTCTCTACCGCTGGTGCAATGAGCCAATCTAAACCAGACTGGATTAGAGTAAAGGCGGCTTTATTGAGAAGCTGCTCTCAGGTGGGTGAGTTCACTGGTCCCAAGGACCATGGCCAGGGAAGTCACCATGGGGAAAGGAGGGGAGGGAGAGAGAAAGGGAAGCACACACAGAGAGAGAAGAGGACAGGATCCTGTGGGGAGGGGCAGACCAGCTCCTGGGGTAGAGAGTTCAGGGTCGGGCCAGAATGTCTAAGGTAGGGACTGAGGGATGCTGGGAGAACCTGGAGTCAGATCTGCTTTGGTATGTGAAATATGCACCTCAGTGTCCAATCCTGGGGTCAGAAATGAAACACTTTGTAGGTATGCAGGGCTAAATTGGCCTTCATTATTAGAAAGGGTTGGTTTTATTTTTTAAAAATACCTTTACAAATAGTTTTGATAGACCAGCATTTTGGTGTGTACTTGTAATCTTAGTAATCTCAGTATTTGGAAGGCTGAAACAGGAGGATAGCTGTGAGCCCAAGTTATTCTAGACTAAAGTTCAAGACCAGCTTAGACAATGTGATAAGACCCTGTCTCAAAACATAAAAAACTAGTTTTGATACCTGAAACTCCAATATTATTTTTTAGACACTGAGTTTGTGTGTTTGTGTGTGTGTGTGTGTGTGTGTGTGTGTGTAGGCTAGAACAACACAAAGATATCATTCTGTCCTTCCACCATGTGAGTCCCAGGTCACCAGGCTTGGTGGCGAGCACTCTTATCTGGTGAGTTGTCTTGGAGGTCCTGATCCTGTTCCCCGTTTTTTCTTCTTTTGAACAGGTGGTGCTGTGTATCTCAGTTGATGTGTCTCAAGACTATAACCAAGTAGAGAACGTCATAAAGCAGGTAAAAGGCCGGGTGATTTCAGTCCCCGGCCTGACTTTGATTGGTTCATGCCAAGAGTTGGCAACTCTTCTCTGTAGATTTGGTGGTTCAGTGGACTTTATTGACCTTGTTTTTCTTCACGATGAATTTTCCATTCTTTGGTGTAATGTTTGGAACAATATGTAATGTTCTGGAATATTCCTCCAGGCACAGGAGAAGCTGGGTCCTGTGGACATGCTGGTCAACTGTGCAGGCACCTCTCTGACAGGAAAGTTTGAAGAACTTGAAGTTAGTAGTTTTGAGGTGAGTGATAATGTTTGCTCACCTTCATTCAAGATGATGTCTTCTATTTTAAAACAGGCCCGCCAAGCCAAGGACTCAGCTACTAAGGTACTTGAGCGCTGAGGAAATGGACATTAGATTTGAACTCTTAAGTGCAAGGCCTTTGTGCTTGGCAGTACGGCAGTCTTGTCTTTAGTGTCCTCCTTCATCCGGGTGATGGGTTTTGAAAGCTGAACTCTGAAGTTAAACTACTCTCCTGTCTTATAGAAAGTGAGATTGCTGGACCAGTGTCAGAGCTATCTTCTCACAGGCTATAGTCAACACCATATACTCAGAGATGCACGCAAGGCCGGCAGGAGAGTCAGAGGGTGGTAAAGGCAGAATGGTGGGACCTGAGTTTGTCTGAGATATCCTATCACTGTACACAGCACACTGGCCCAGCCTTACTGCTGCCTCGGCTTCCTAAGCACTGGGATCACAGGTCTCTGTCACTACACCTAGTGTCACTACACCTGCCACAGTTGTTTGTTTTAGAGCGAATAATTCAGAGGCACTTAGCATATTGTGATGTTGTGTAACTATCTAGTTATAAAACATTTTCATCTCTTTAAAAGAATACTCTGTACTTTAGTCATTATTTCTCATTACCCCAAACCCTTATTCTAGCCGCTGGCTACCCCTAATCTGTGTCTGTCTTGCTGGATAATAGAGTCCTGTGAAGCATACCTTCCTGTGTCTGGCTCTTTTCACATGGTAAATGCCCTAAAGGTTTCTTCACGCTGAAGTACTGAAGTGTACACCAGTGCTTTATTTTTCTGGGTTGGTAATAGTCCCGTTGTGTGGGCAGAAGGCAATGTGTTTGTCTATTTATCATCCCAGAGTATTTGGACCGGTCTTACCTACCCAGCCCAACCCAGAAGCTCTAGATGTCATTTGAGCCCTTGGGGGTTGTGTTGCACAATCCTGTCTTTTAGTTTCCCAGTCGCCAGTCAACACTCAAGTTTCTATGTCTTGCCAAGTGTGTTACAACTTGTCGTTTGTTCTCCAGCTTTCACCTGTTGTTGCTTTTCCTTTCATTTCTGTTGTCTTCTCTTGGAGCTCTTAGCTGGATGGAGTGGCTCATGCCTGTAATCCCAGTTCTTGGGAAACTGAGGCAAGAGAATAAGGATGAGTTTGAGGCCAGCCTGAGCTATGAAGTGAATTTCAGGCCATCACGAAGTACAATATGAGACTCTATCTCCAAAACAGACAGACAGACAGACAGATGTACTCCTTACTGGTGTTTTAGTGGGTTCTCTAAAAAGAGCTGAGGTAAACATGGGGTTTTATTCTTTCTCAGATACTTTTTGGGGATTCTTACTACGAAAACAATGTCATGAGGGGCTGGAGAGATGGCTCAGTGGCTAACAGTGCTTGCTGCTCTTGCAGATGACCAAAATCCAGTTCCCAACACTCTGAGAGGTCACGTCTGTAATTCCAGTACCAAAGAATCCAGTGCCTGCCAGGCACACACATATATATCCATGCAAGACACTCATATGCACATAATAAAAATAAAAGTATTAAAGGTTAAAACAAGACAGTGATATTAAAACATTCTAGAAAAAAAAAAACAGGGATCCTAGCTTCCAAACACAATCAATATTTTCAGGTTTTTCTTTGCTTTTGCAAAATGAAGTGGTAAGAATTCCTATCTGCACATAGCCTGCCTTCTACTTTTTAAAAACTCAGAGCATAAATCTTTCCCCTCACTCCTGTGTTTTCAATTGTCGTTTCTTAAAGTTCCTTAGTATTCTGCTGTACTGCCATCTTGGTTTGTGTGTATGAGCTTGACTGGGCTGTGTAGCTTCTCAGGGTAATGCGAATAAGGCTTTCGGTGTCTAAAGGTGTTACTGTGCATCCTCAGGTTCTAAGGTTGGGCCTAGGTTTTAAGAGCTCTGGGATGAGAAGTGGGAGTGTCTCTGCGGGCACTTTCCTGTGAGGTGTACTAGCCCGCGGATACTGAGTTTTTACTGTGCAAGCCAACAGGATCTGTGCTTGTACTTAGCTTGTGTTTTCCCTTGTAATCCCTGAAGCATCCTGAGGTAATGCCAAGATTAACCCCCTTTTCAGCTGAGGAAATGGCCAGCGTCTTTTCTCATGAGAATCGGGAGTGGGTGGTGGCAGCAAGGTACCACTATACTGTTAACTGGTACCGTGTTCTCTGTATAATCCTTGTTAGCTTGGAACTAACAGGGCCAGAAATATTTAGAAGCTTTTTTTGTTTTAGATTCTGTTCCATTGCTGTGAAGAGACACGGTGACCAAGGCAACTCTTGTAAAGGAAAGCATTTAATAGGGGCTTGCTTACAGGTTCAGAGGTTCAGTCCATTATCATCATGGTGTGCTGGGGGTGGGGTGGGGTAGGGGGGTAGCTCGCAAGTGGGCGTGGGTCCTGTTGGGCTGAGTTGTGGGTCTCACAGTGTCTGGTGTCCCAGGTAGCTGGAACCGAGGCTCAAAAGCGCAGGAATTTGACTGAGTTCACTCCACTCAAAGCCCTGCGGACACTGGGCTATGAGAAGTCGCAGGGTTCCTCCTGGGCATGGAGAGGTCTCAGCCTGAGACCCCCATGGGGCAGAGCTCTTGGGTGGGGACCCCCAGCCCCCCAGGCAAGAAGGCATGTGGGGATCAACTGGTCTCAGACTCCTGGGCTCCCAGGCAGGAAGAGTTGAGACTGGGGGCATATGGGCTGGACTGGCCAGCAGCTGAGGGGGACGAGGGAGGGAAGCTCCAGCTGTGCCCCTTGGTCACAGTGAATCGCTTAGCTGGGTCATGGCTGGCTCGGCTAGCTTGAATTGGTGGCTTCCGTGGCTGGAATGCAGAGAGGTCCTCTGGTGGGGGATTAGGCGGTGTCTCATTGATTACAGGGCCCCTCTACGCTTCTCCACAGTGGGCCCAAAGACAGAGGTAGTCCATGGTTGTAAAAGGTTTATTGTCATGGTGGAAAGTGGATGAAACTGTACCCCCATGTTCTCAGGGAGGGCCTGAGGTTAAATATCTTTTGCAAGGAGGAGGGTCTGGGCTTTCCTCCCTCTGGTCTTTAGGTATCTCATTAATATGGAGATCTCTTGAGGCTCTGTGGCCTGTAGTGGTGCCCTCTACCTGTGCTATATAACCTAAGGCCACAAACCTTTCTTTGGGAGGGGCTGTGGATAAGTGGAAGGAACCAGGGCCCAGGAGCAAGGCTGAACACCTACCATCCCATTAGGGTCCTGGGTTTGAGGCCTGTGCTCGACCAGGTACCCAGCTGCCTCACACAGCCCACCGCCCCACAGTGGTGGGAAGCAGACAGGCGTAATACTAGAGCAGTAGCTGAGAGCTTTGCATCCTGGTCCACAGGCAGGAGAGGGAGAGGAGAAGAGGAGGGGGGGGGGGGGGGGGGGGGGGGGGGGAGGGGGAGAGGGAGAGAAAACACAAACACTGGGTCGCTGTGGACTTTTGAAACCTCAGAGCACACCCCCAGAGTCATACGTCCTCCAACAACCCTCTCCCCAACCCCCATCTAATCCTTCCATACTGTTAATCAAGTAAGAATCAAGTCTGTGAGTCCATGGGGCAATTCACATTCAAACTACCATAGGGTCTCTGTTAAATAAATTAGTCCTGGGAAGACACAAGCTCCCCTTAGCAGGGCTTAGGCTTCTGCCCTTGTTCCCACCTCATCTGGCCTCTTCGTTCTTTGCAGAAATTAATGAGCATAAATTACCTGGGCAGTGTGTACCCCAGCAGGGCAGTCATCACCACCATGAAGGAGCGCCGGGTGGGCAGGATTGTGTTCGTGTCCTCTCAGGCAGGACAGCTCGGGCTGTTCGGTTTCACGGCCTACTCTTCGTCCAAGTTTGCCCTAAGAGGATTGGCGGAAGCTCTGCAGATGGAGGTAAAAGATGCACTTATGTCTGTGTTTTCCTCTTCTCAGATCAGCAGGGAGCACTGTCGTTCTAGCATCTTGGCTCGAGGCTTACAAAGCTGGTATCTATAAAAAAACAAAACTAACTCAGTTGTAAGTTCTGCATTTTAGTACTTCTCATTGTATAAAGATTATACTCAGGACAGAAGCAAAATGACTCTGAGGGTGGAGGGATTGTCTACTGTATAAAGTACATCCTGGTGTTGGTCTGCTTCTGCTTGAGTGAACAAAAATGTCATTATATAGACAACTTTCTTAGAGATCTGGAGATGGCTTGGGACAAAATGCTTGTGGTACACGTTGGGTACCAGAGTTTGGCTCTCCAGAACTCACGTACATGTTGGGTCCGTGTAGCAGTTTGCCTGCAATTCTAGTGCTCGGGAGGTAAAGACAGGATGCCCAAAGCAACGTGGCTAACAAGCTAGACTAGTCCTCTCAGGATGAGCCCAATTGAGAGGCCGACCTCATAGAATAAGATAAAGAGGATCATTAAGAAAAACTCAACATTAGGCGTAGGCCTCTGCACACACGTGCTTGATTAAGATTATAGTTCTGTATGTGTGAAATACTTGCAGAAGCTTCTTCACGCCACTGTCTGGAAATCCAGCTTTTAGTGAATTCACTGAGTTACTTAGATTCACGCAGTGTCTTGGTGACAGGAACAACGAGGCCCAGCCCTGTGACTGCAAGCCCCACCGGTCTTTTGCAGCAGAGGATGTGTCTGTAATTTGGGGCAGAAGTTAGCGTGTGTATCTGGTAGCTACCTTATCCGGTTCGGGTTTTAGTCTTTGAATCCATGCGGGTGCAGAGTTTGGGAGATAAAAATATATGCCCATTAAGGCCTTTCCTGAAGTCTGACAATAAGATTCACAAATTGAGGGCAGAGTATCTGCGGGTGCCCTGGTTTTCATTTCAGAGGGGACAGTGACCCAGTGGCTGCAACAGAGTCCCTCAGCTTCTTGATGTTAGGATCGATCTTTCACTCTGCTGGAAGCTGACCAGGCTAAGTCTCCTTGACTTCTGTGCGTTAGAAGCGTTGTTCCTTAAACAAACAAGAACACACCATCTAAAGGACTGCTGTTTTATTTGGAGAAAATAAATTCAGGCTTTTGAATCCAATTTGTTTGTAGCAAAATTTGCCTCCAACCGAGATTCCCTTCTAAAGTAATAATTGTTTTTTGAAATCTAGATAATTTGGTCAGTTTGTTTTATGAGTAAAACCAACATAGTTGCTTAAACGCTTAATACTTTGGGTAGACTTTTTGTCTTAATTAACTTTTTAAGACTTTCCAGTTACCACCCTATTCCCTCCATCAAATTGTAAGCTCTGAAAATGTGGGCACAATATGTACTTGAATGCTTTGTTGGTATTTTGGATTTGACTTTTTTTTTTTTTTGGTGTTTTAAATACAAATTTATTGTTTAAAGATTTTTCAAAAACATGATCTCTTTGAAAGTGTGTTTCTGAAGCCAATTACAGCCAGAGATGAATTCAGGATTCAACCATAACAAAACAGGAATCCCCATCCAGGCCTCCTCCTGCTTTCTTACCCAGACCCTGCCTGGCCCCTCCCCCATCTGTTCCCACCATAGTAGACCAGTAAGCTGGAGCTTGGCTTCTTTAGTCTGATATAAGCAGCTGGGGTTCCCTCTCCAACCCTAGTGTTCTTGTTTTAATAGAACAGCTCTTGGGTGCCATTGGTTTTTATGATAACTCATCCTTCGGCAACCTATCCGTTGTCAAGGCCGGTGCCAAGTGGAAGGAAGAAAATGAGAACAGGATGGAGAAAGGCAGAGCAGGAGAGTAGGAAATGGCCACTTCCCAGGGACAGGGAGAAAGAAATCAGCTAGGTCAGATGTAACAGTCATCATAACACCGGTCACAACCCAGAACAGGCGGATGGATGTAAGCTAAGCTGCCCTTTTTGGTTATAATGTTAACAGTTAGAGAGAGGTGTGGGAATAGTTTGGTATGTCCTGGTTTTTGCAAATTTGTCAAGGAGAGTATCAGGAGACCAGGAACCAAGCGATGGACAGAGACTTGTCCATTTAGTTCATACCTGTACGTAAGACTGTGTTGGGATATAGTAGTAATTTAGTAAGTACCCACCTGTAGACTAGCAGGATAATTACCCTTGATTGTAAAAACAGTGTGGGCTCCAAAGGCGACAGACTGGTCCCTCTCCACCATGCTGTTTCCAGTCCCTCCCCGTGAGAGAACTGTTGGTGACCCAGTCATGACCTTGAGTTTGATAGACACTACTTTGAAACACAGTTTTGACAATCATAAACACCACAGCCGTTACTGTGGGGAGCAGAGCAGTGGGGTAGGCACTGAAGAGTGGGTCCAGGAAACCAGTCTTTGTGACTTGCCCAGTTATTACTTGGGTGCTTTTTTTTTTTTGGAAGCCATTTTTCTCTGATCCCAATACAGGCTCAGATAAGACTACAAGAGACATTTTATTAAGTCACCATGTTGAAAGCACGGGTGAGAGAAGTCACTTGCTCATTGTTGTTCCTGATGGCTTATTTACGAGCCTGGTTGGCCAGGAAGACAGCATCCCCTAGCCTGGCCAGGCCACGAACCCCCATGACTTGGCTGCCCTGGAATGGAACCAACTTTCACTTTTGCGGTTACTTGGATGGGTGCACAGTACCTACAGTTTTTTTTTTTTTTTTCTCTCTCTTGACCCATGTAACTCTCCCGAGCCTTCATAGCTGTGTCACTAAGAGAATCTGAGAGCTAAAGGGCTGGCTCCCTGGTAGAAGGGTGGGGCTGTGGAACACTGTCGAATTTCTTCCTTAAGATTTTCAGCGCTAGCCTTGTTGACGGCCCTTCCAAATACCCAGATGTCTTTATGAGGACAAAGACACAAGCCAGCAGGAAATAATAACAAAAACATGCCAAAGTGAACTTGATGGTCCGAGCCTTTGGATTGCTGATTACCAGGCAAGAGGGGAACAGGCGACAGCGACTGGGCTACTGTTGGACAATTTGGGAAGACTGACCCTTGAAAAGAAGGGCCATTGGGATTGTCGGGGTGTCTTCATCGGTAGAGGAGTTGACTGGGAAAAGAAAGCAGGAGACAGACAGTGTTGGAAGAGCTGAAGGCTGTAATAGGCAGAGTAGCTATAAAGAAAACCAGGGGGAACTGGGCATGGTGGTGCACACCTGTGTCCCAAGTATTTGGGAGACCGTAGCAGAAGGATCACCAGGTCAGACTAACCTGGGCTAGAGAGATCTTACTGTTTGTTAAAAAGGACAGAGGGAAGAACTTCTGTGTGTAAATAGTGGTTGGGGCTGTTTACAGGAGAGTTGCTTAGGTGGTCGTACTTTGGGGGTCTACACAGGGTGAAGATGCCTTCTGCCGATGCTATGATGCTGTGTGGGTGGTTGTACAGGGACTTCTACAGGGATGGATAGAGTTCCAGACCTGGATTCAGTCACAGCAGTGCACAGCAGGGTAGGCACCGAGAGGCACAGTATTTTGCAGTTGAAATGAACATAACAGTATTGGAAGCATCCTGAAAGGCAAAAAGACTAACCTGGTAGGTAAGGGCATAGACCTGTGCCTACCTGTGCATAGACAGTGCAGTTCCTAGGCAAAGTCTGTGATGAGTGAGCATACTGTCATTCCACAGCGGGTGCAGTCCTCCCTGGGCAGCTCCCAGCCTCTGCTGGTCAGCGGGAAGGAAGAACCGTACTAGGAGGGGTTTGATGCACTTTAGAGCCTGCTAGTTTCTGGCATAGGTCAGGGGAACTCTTGCTACCATTTCTAAGTCGTCTTCATGGAGCGGGGTCCCCAGTACATTTGGTAGCTGTTCACCGAAAGCCACTTTATGAGCCTGACAACCATCACCTTCTGAGGCAGTGTTCTCCACCTTCCTGATGCTGTGACCCTTTAAATTGCCTCGTGTTGCGGTGACCCCTCCCTCCCGCCGCCATAGAGTTGTTTCATTGCTATTTCAAAACTGTAGTGTTACTACTGCTATGAATCAGAGTGTGAATATCTGATATGCGGATATCTGGTATGTAACCCCCCCCCAAAAGGACCGTGACCCACAGGTTGGAACCAGTGTTCTAAGAATCAGGACAGCTGAAAAAGTTACAGGGATGAATACAAAGTGCTCTGTTTACTGAGAGTGCCAACCTTGTTTGTGTGACCAGGTGAAGCCTTATAATGTGTACGTCACTGTGGCCTACCCACCAGACACCGACACCCCGGGGCTGGCTGAGGAAAACAAAACGAAGGTCAGTATTCCTCCATAACACCCTCTGGGAGGAGTGTGTGATGGTGTCTGCGTGTGTTATGTGTGTGCTGTGTGAAGTGTGTTGTTTGTGTGATGCGTGTTGTATGTGTGAGGGATGCTGTGTGATGTGTATGATACAATGTTATGTGTTCTGAGTGAGGTGTGTGTGTGATGTATTTGGTGTATGTGTGTGGTGGTGTGTACATCATTTGTATTTGTGACTGGAGGGAGTTATGCATATTTAGGTGTGTGTATGTTATATGATGTGTATATAGGATATGTGTGGCAGTTGTACGTGTGTGTGTGTGTGTGTGTGTGTGTATTTGAGAGTGTGGAGATATGTAGGCAGTCTAGAGAACAACCTTGGGTATTCTTCAGGTAGTGTCCTTGGTCTCGAGACAGGGACTTGCACTGTCCTAGAGCTGTCAAGTAGGCCCAGCTGACAGACTAGTGAGCAGCAGGAGTTCTGTCTCTGTGTCCTCATGGCTGGCTTTGCAAGTGCATGTGCTCAGAGGCCAGACAGGCATTTTCTCTCCCTAGCCCTGTTCTGCATCTTTAGTGTGATTTTTATGTATGAATTTATACTACTTTAGGTCCTGACTGTTTACCAGTTAGCGGGTCTGTCGGGTGCAGGGTGCTGAGCCGAGATTTGACTTTTCAGGCAAAGCTTCCTCCCACCACCCTTTCTGCTCTCCAATCCCCTTTTCTTAACGTTGAACTTATTTTTTTTCCAACTTTTAGCACAGTGTTCTCTCACACAGTGCAGTTGTCTAAGGCTGCCTGTGGCTTTATCGCTCCCACGTCTGACTTCTGATCCCCAGAGGGAGCCATTTCACCCATGTGTCTAAAACCAATCCATACATGCGTACATAGCTACATACGTACACAACATGTGTACCTACATGTGCATACGTAAGTTCATACATACATTCATGTGTACTCATGTACAAACGCGTATCTTAACTAGGGAAGGTAAAATTTGAGCCTCGGGTCTACTTTGTTCTCCCTGTGTTCCTCTCATGGAGCCAGATTCTGTGTTTATATGTAACTTTACGAATGTTGTTAAAGTTGACCCTCTCTAATGGCATTTCCTCTCCTGTGTCCGTTTGTTTGACTGAGTATCTGTAGCTCACACACTGGGGAGAACTGAATGTCTTCTGATCATCTGATCTCGTGATGTTTCTGTTACTTTCACTCTTCTTCCCTCCAAGTTCCTTCTCTTGGGGCTTCACCTCCTGACAGGAGACAGGACACTGGCCTGGGGGACATCCTCTGCACTCCACTGTGCTGGGCTTCCCTCCTCTGCCCCTCGATGGAGGTCTGTGCCTTCTACTTCTGTCATTTCTCTGCTCCCTTTGGTGGCCCTTCAGTCATTTCGGAGAAAGGCACACGAGAGGTAGCATTGGTTTAGAGTCTGCCTTAGCAAAACTGCATCTGCCTTCTTCTGTGTTTCGTAGTTGTGTTTGGTGGGCTGTTGTATTGGCGTGAGTGTTTTACTGGTGTGACAGTCCTCACAGTGTTGCAGGCATTTTTCACTGAGTTATAGCTTCTAGAGTAACCTGGGGACCACGCTGGGCAAGTGCCACACCCATCCATCAGGACAGGGAGAACTGGCCAGGCAGATCAGTTCTCCTTACAGGAAGCAGAAAAAGGGGGTACGGCAGAGAGCCGGGTGAGCCATAGCCTCAGCAACACATTCCTCCCACTGGGCTTCTACCTTTCCCCACCTTCCAGGAAATGTCCTCAGGGCCACGCGTGGGTCAGCGACTGAGCAGCCCCCTAATGCACACAGGAGGTGTGTACTGCTGGTGGCGTTTGGTTGTGGACACCCCTGTTCCTTTTTATCTCTTAGAATGTTGTTTTATGTGAAGTGCTCTCCCTTCATCCCTTCATGTGCTAGATACTCAGGTAGTCCCGTTTGTCGATGCGCTCCAGGTCTGGAACATCGAGGTCATGTTTTCCATCCAGAACACTCGGATGCATTCTTTGTGCTGTTCTCGCTCCGGAGCCCCGCGCCGCCCCCCCCCCCCCCCGCACCTACCCTCCCCACCTCCTCTCTCGTTCGCAGTTGGCTTCTTTTCAACTTTGCGTTGAAATTTTTTATTTCTACTGATTTTTCTTTTTTTAAGCTTAGGTCTGTCTGGCATGGGTTTGTCTTAGTGACTGGGCTGTGGTTGTGAAAAGAAACCAAGACCAACGTAACATGAAAACATTGATTTGGCGCTGTCTTACAGTTTCATAGGGCTAAGCCATTAGCATAATGGCAGGGATCCTGGTGACACGCAGGCTGACATGGTGCTCGAGAAGGAACTGAGAGCTAAATCCTGAGCCATAGGCTGCAGGCAGAGAGAGAGAGAGAGAGAGAGAGAGAGAGAGAGAGAGAGAGAGAGACAGAGACAGGGCCTGCTGTAGACTTTTGAAACCTCCAGCCCCATCCCCACTGAGTTTTTTATTTCTGAGGAACTTCAGTCTGGATGTTGCTTGGCTGTATTTTTGTTCTGTTTCTTGTCTTGGTTTTGATTCTAGGTGTTCCAGACTCTCCTCACGTGAGTGTATGTCCGTGATCCCATTCACCCTTGCTCCGCCTCCTGCTTTACGTACGGAGGGTGGGGTGGGGTCACCTACATTTCCTTAGAGTCAGGAATGTTGACAGATGGCATACGTCTGGTCATTTCAGCCCCAGTAGCATCTGTCTCCCTTGGGCGTGCATGCACATTATATGAAAATGACTGAGTGGCCTGAGCTGAGTGTAGGCTTCCTTCTCTGTTCATCTGGCTCCCCCTTTGCCATAGCCATGACAGGTAGCAAACAGATAAAGTGGGGCTGGAGGAAACCAATGAAAACATACCACCTCACACCGAGGGTAGCTTAGTTTTAGACTCAATTACTTTATTTATTTATTTTTTCTTAGGGTGTATGTAGATCTCTGTAGCATAAATTTCGGATGTTTATGTAATCTGCGTCCTGTTTTTGTTTGCAGAAAAAAAAGGGTGGGGGTACTTATGTAGAAATACTCTCCTCATTTTCTTTTGCATTCAGCCATTTTTACAATTTATTTCTGTTTTAAAGAAATAAATTGAGACCAAATCTCCTGCCTCCGACCTGCTAAGTAAGCATTGATATTTTCTGCATAGTCTTTAAGTCAGAAGCCAGTGAAGTAGTGACTTCCCTGAGAGTTGGTGTTTTTTTTGTTTAACCTCCAGTTTAAGTCTTGCAGATTTCTGGTGACTGGAACCTGCATTGGTCTGTGGGCCCTGTAGGGGGCGGCAGACACCCTTCTAACTCCGTGCATCTTGCATGTCCTTACCTGGTATGGAGGAAGAGCAAACCAATGGAATATTTGTCCTTTCAAATTCTTAAAAAAATAAAAGCAACAAATCCCAACTTTTGTGAAGCATTTGGCTTGTGCCTATAATCACAGTATTCAGGAGGTGGGGGGATCAAGAGTTACAAGCCTGCTTGGGCTTCATAGTCAGACCCTGACTCACAAAACCAGACCTGGAGGGCAAAAAGTATTCCAGGCTTTCCCCTCAAGGCTATGTGAAGAGTCACATTTAGTCTCCTATGGCTTAATGCTTCAGTTTGAGACTTTCCTTTTGAAGAATGTGTGGATGCGTGTATAAAATGCTACTCAGAAAAGCCAGTGGGAAAAGACAAAAACGTCGTCACTCACAAGTAAATAGGACACAAAGTGTGAATACAGAAGTAGCTGTAACGTGAATTAATACAGAAATGAAGGAGAGGAGAGAGAGAAGGAGGGAGGAGGAGAGAGAGAAACCGAGACACAAGGAGCAAGGAATTAAGAAAGGCGTTCTGAGCTAAGTGCGAGTCTGACAGACCCTTGTCTCTCTCGAGGAGCAGAAGCCCATGATTTGACAATTGGTACCTCAGTCCTGTAACTAACTATCTCTCAGCCAAACTAGGGACTAGGCAGTGTTGATTCTCCAGTGGCTATTGTCTGCCTCCTCCGCTCGCCCTTGAGCAAATAGATACAGTTCTTCAATGAGGCCTAGGCCAAGACTGTCCTTACTCTCTATCTGTCCCCAGCATCCTTCAATGGAGGCACTATCCTGAGATGGATCACGTTTGCTCAGTCACAGGGACGAGCCTCTATGCACATACTGTCTGGCAGTTGTCTGGCCAGTAAGAGGAGGGGCCCTCCCTCACTGTGACTGACTCACTGATCTACTCTGACTCCAGCTCTGAAATTCCTCACTAGAACCATGCTTGCGGCACAGAGAAGGGCAAGCAACCTCCTTAGCACGCTTTGCCAACGGAGAGAAACATTCCACGGGTAGAAACTGATTTAGAATCTAGATTGATCTTTGTCTTCAACAAGCTTATTTGTTTGAAGGTAAAAAAAAAATAATAATTATTTCTAATCAGACTATAAGAGTTTGAATTCGGTGGACACTAATTTGTATATTTCCCCCCACTTGCAGCCCCTTGAAACCCGGCTTATCTCAGAGACCACAGCTGTTTGCAAACCAGAGCAGGTGGCCAAACAAATTGTCAAAGATGCCATAGTAAGTAACAGCCCTTGTGTGTGGCTTTCTGTACTACCTGTATTTACGCAGTATTTCTGAAAAGCACATAAGGACTTATTTCAAAGCAGAGCGTTCAGCTTTGGGTTGGGTTTGTCTAATGTTAGCCTCCACAACCCCCTCACACTTCCTGTGGATTCAGTATTAACCTGAGGAACAGAGTCACAGTATCGTAAGAGAGCTGAAGCTCTCGGCAAGCACATGACCACTACGTAAGGAAAGGCACCTTCTTTTAATTTTTACTTGTAATTTTACTTATTGTGCAGGCGTGAATGTCACCTTACAGGAAAAGTTGTCTTGTCTGCCACGTGGGTCCAGGGGATTGAACCCAGGTCATCAGGATTGGTGTCCCTGTTTACCCGTGAGCCTGGCCTCCGTCCCTACCTTGTCTCTTCCCATGGTTTGAGACCCACAAGGTACTTGGTTGCCAGGCTCAGGACAGCCTTTTCTTTCCTTTCCTGTTTCCTGTTACCACTTTTCTCGTGGTTCACAAGAAGCTACGAAGCATCAGACTGCTGGCCCCACCATTCCCTTCGATGTCCCTCCTCACCCACTTAATTTGTGGGGAGTTGGCTTCAGGAACCGTATAAAGCATTATGTAGAGCACTGAATAGCACAGTTCTTTTGACCAAGTTCCAATTAACCCACTTACAGACCAAGGTTCAGTCTGAGGGATGTGCAGAAACTTAGTAACTTCCGTGACTTCGGAAAATCTGCAGTCTATTGCCAGGAGCGGTGCCCAGGTAACATGGTGCAGCTTCTAAGTACCAAAAAGTTAGTGGAACACCGTAACAAAAGCAGCCTCACCAAGAGACCCAAAGGCCTGGTGAGACAGCTCCGTGGGTAAAAGGGACCTGCCACCAATCCTAATAACCGGAGTTCTTCAGACTCCAGAAGTGGAAGGAAAGAACTGACTTCCTCATGGCCTCTGTATACACACAAATACACACAAATAAATAAATAAACATTTAAAAACAGAACTCAGAGAGATGGCTTGGTAAGTTTTACAAGCACAAGGACCCCAGTTCAGAAGCAGCGGGACCTCCGCTAACTCCAGTTCCAGAGATCCAGTGCCCTCTTCTGGCCTTACTGGGCACTGCGTCATCACATACATGGTACACATGCATACATGCAGGCACTCACACATGCATGTATGTATTTTTTTTTTTTTTAAATCTTAAAACAACAACAAAAGGACTGAGTTCCTAGCACTGACATATAAAGCCAGTGGGGTTGTTCCTGTATGTAACCCAAGCCCTGTGTGGACAGAGACAGGCAAATCCCCAGTGCTTGTGAGCCAGCCAACCTATCCAGTCTGTGAGCCTAGCCAGGGTCATTTAGAGACCCGTTCACAAAAGATAAGGTGTAGAGTGATTGAAGTAGACACCCAACATTGACCTTTGATCCCCACACACAGACATGCACATGGGGTGGGGGGTGGGGGTTGTAGTCTGTCCTGGTTGCCTCTAGAGGCTCAGAGCCTCAGTGATGTAGAGGTATTGAAAACTAATTTGCTTTTCCCTTAAGTCAAAACAAGTACCCTCAAGGTGTGTTGTTGTTGTTGATCTTCTTCTCCTCCTCCTCTTCCTCCTCTTCCTCTTCCTCCTCCTCCTCCTCCTCCTCCTCCTCCTCCTCCTCCTCCTCTTCTTCTTTCTTGTCTTAAGATGGTGGTTCTTGCCTTGCATGTGCATGGTCCTGGGTTCCATCAGCAGCAGCAGAAGATGGGGAAAAGATTTAGTTAGGAGATAAAGTCATTTGAAATCAAAGAAATTGGGACTGGGCAGTTGCCATGGTGGTTAACAGCACTTCTTGTAAAGGCTCTAGATTCAATCCCCACCACCACATGGAGGTTCAGCAGTTCCTTAGGCAGCATATTGTACCCAGACATGCATGCAGTCAACACCACACACACACACACACACGATAGGAAATAATAAAACTTAAATATATTTATTACATTTTTAAACATCTTTATTCGTTCTTTTGACGTACATTTGTGCCTGAGTGTATGTATGTATGTGCAATGCCTGCAAAGGCCAGAGGAGAGCATCAGATCCCTGGGACTGGACTTACGGGCGTTATCCCCTCTCTTTATGGTTTCTTTTTAATTGTGTGTGTGTGGGGGTAGGTTTGGGTGTGCATATGTGAGGATAACAGCCAGAGAACATATTTGAGGAGTCAGTTATTTCCTTCACTGGGTTTCTGGGATCAAACTTAGATCAGACTCAAGGAACAAGAGCTCTTATCTGCCGAGTCATGCCTTTTCTCAGTTTCTTTCGTATGGGGCTCCAGTCGCTTCAGCTGAGGGTGACCTTGAACTCTGATCCTTCTCCCACTTCTCAAGTGCTGATATTGCAGGCACGCACTATTATGCGTGGCTCAAACAGAGCTATTTTCAAACCGAAGTTCACCGGGAAGAGTGGCATTGTATTTTCACAAGCCTCTACAAAGTCCACACTGATGGATACCAGCTGCCTTCGCATGTCTGCTTCTGTGGCCAATCTGTTAAATACATTCTTTTTCAAACATTTGAAGAAAATCTGACCTTAAACAGATACATAATTGGAAGGGGATAAAGTCTTCACAGGATTTTCAGATAATGGGTATGATGTTCTTTCTTTTTTTCTTTCCTTCTTTTTTTTTTAATTTTTATATTAAAGGTTGGTTGCAGTGTGAAGTTAGAAACTGCACCAATGAGCTTTTCGTTCTCTGTGACATTGAAACCCATGTCTCATTTCTATATTGAACGGATCTTTTACCAACTTGCATTAGTCATTTGGAAAATATGGGGTCTGAGTTAACAAAAGTCACATTTGTCAGAGATCAGGGAAATATCAGGAAGCCAACTATCTCATGCTGATGGACAAAGTTTTCATAAATCTTAAGTTTCCCCATGCACATATGTGTTCTCTGGTCTTGCAGACCGCAAGTTCACTTCACTTGGCTGCCCTATTTGTGTCTCAAGCCCAAGTGGGAATGTTGTAGTCTGCTGGTCAGTAGGTGTAAAACAGAAACATAGTTCTGTCAGGAAACTCAGCTCCGAGGTATTCCACAAGGACTTTTCTTCAAGGTGTAGGCCAGCCTTTAGTGTTCCCCGAAAGCTGAAGCACTCCCAGTGAATTTATTATTTGTCACCTGAGAACAGAAGCCCTCTCCCCGGTGTCCTCCAGGAGATGCTGGTTCCTGTGAGTACTATGTGTATCCACCTGTGAATAGTGTAGCCAGGGACGAAGCTCAGCTGGTAGAGCGATAGTCTAATACGCATGAAGCCCTGGTTCCTCCCTAGTACCATACAAACTGAGTGTGAGAGCACATGCCTGTAATCCCAGCACTTCTGAGGTAGAGAAGAGAGGATTGAAATTCAGTCCTCGGTTACAGAGTGAGCTCAAGGACAGCCCGAAATCCTGCCTCCAAAACAAACAAACAAACCCCAAACCTGTTTAATTAATGAATTAGGCTCCTGGTTATATTGAGGAACAAAGAAGTGACACATATCCCGTGTGGGGCAGAGCTGAACAGCCCTAGATGCTGGTGTATCTCAGATCTTGGTTGACTATAGGTACATGAGGGGAGGAGCTATGTCTTCAGGATTACAACCTAACAAAATGAGCAACTTTTCTGTTTCATCATGTATTTTTAAGTACGTTGTGTTTGTGTGTGTGTGTGTGTTTGTGTGTGTGTGTGTGTGTGTGTGTGTGTGTGTGTGTGTGTGTGTGTTTCTTCGTCGCTGCAGTGGTGGTGCCAGTGGCTGCATTAGGGCCATACTCTCAGAAACTCTGGTTTGTGTTGTGGCATTTTTGTCCATAAGTACAAAGGTCAGTGGGAGAACTGCTAATGTCTCAATGTCATTTAACAGTTTCATTGTCCCTAGAGACCCTGAAAAAGGTCTGGAACCCACAGGGAATCTTCGGACTCGTACTTTGAGAACTGGATATACTTTTAAGTCTACGTGTCCATTTTTTTTTTTTTTAGTTCTGGTATATTCTAAGTTGCCATGCCACCCCACATAAAGTGAAGGGACACACTCCATTGCTTCTCCAGTGTTAAACTGATTCTGTTAAACTTACTCCATGCCGCTCTTTTCTTGCTTGCTTCTTTTCCAGCAAGGGAATTTTAATAGTTCTATTGGCTCAGATGGGTACATGCTGTCCTCCGTGACCTGCGGGATGGCTCCGGTGACTTCCATCACTGAAGGACTCCAGCAGGTAAGTCCTTTCTTTAGCCAGCAACCGGGTAGACATACAGACAGGTAGACTAACAAAACAAGAATTAACCGTTTCCAGCTTCTGTGAGATGAAGACTAGAGTATCAACTGTAAGTAGACAAGCAGGTTAAGGATATGTTCTGGATGGAAGTGAGGCACCAGGCCACGGGCGGACGAGGGGCCGTCGCTGTTGTTGGGTGCTCACCTAGCTTTTCAGTAAAGAATCCTTGCTCTCAAGTGTTAAAAAAGGAACACTTGGTCTAGAATGGTGTGGGGGAAGCCTTGTCCACAACCGGTGAAAATTAGCTTAGAAACCATTTGCTAGCTCTTTAAGCCCTCGAGTACCTCAGCTGAAGGAGACTCAGAGAGAGAGGACCAGACACACCTTGCCCTTAATAGTTTCATCCAGATTGCCAGCACTGTCATAAAAAGCCAGCGTGGTTGCTCCTGTGTGGAACCCAGGCCCTGTGTGGCAGATCCCCAGAGTTTGTGAGCCAGCCAGCCTGTCTAGTCTGTGAGCCTAGCCAGGATCACAAAAGATACCTGCGTGAGTTCTTTCCCTCATGGATGTCTGCACGCCTCAGGTGGGCAGTGCACATGGAGGGCAGAAGAAAACATTAGATTCCCTAGAATTGGTGCTACAGAGAGTAAGCTGCCAGCCAGGTGCTAGGAATCAAATTCAGGCCCTCTGGAAGAAGAGCATTAACTCTTGACCTCTGAACCATCTCTCAAGCCTGAAAGTTCGTAGCTGTTGTTAAGGTTCTGTCTTCCCCAGATAGTTAGGTGTAAGAGGGCTCACTAACCCTTAAGGAGTCTGCCATAGGGTGGCTGAAACTGGTGGGCAGTGCTGACAGCAGCCATGTCATTAGAGTTGTAGTGGAAGGAACATCTGGGGACAAAGCCAAGCATCATGGCTGACAAAGCCGTGGTCTGTATGGATCTGTGTGAGGTGCATTCAGATAACTTGTAGTTCTCCAGATCACATGTCAGTGTTTAACTTCCGTGACCTCTCACTTTCTCTTATTTTTCTCGGAAGAGGATACCTGGGAGACAACGTTTTTTGGTCATTACGTATCTGTAAATGTGTGTCTTTCCATGATGCCATTTGGAGTTGCTTTGATGAGAAACTGTCACTGGGAGGGCAAATGACTATGGATAACCACTGCCTTGCCCCCGAGACCGGTTGCTTTCTCACTTGACTATCTTTCCACTACAAGTGGAGCGTACGTCCACCTGTAGTTGCAGCTACTAAGAAGGCTGACGTGAGAGGATCACTGGGGTCTAGGAGCCAATCCAGTCTGAGCACCATAGTGAGACTTTGCCTCAATAAGTAAACATCAGTTCGGGTAGGAGAGGAACATATATTTCTCACTTCACTATCCTGAGCACCCAGCAAAAGGCCTTAATACTCAGAACAAAAATAGGACATCTTGATTGTAGCGTAGCTATCTGGAATGCTGGATCTCACCGGGCCTAGGAGTTATAACCGTCTTCTAAGAGTGCCTAGCTTGTTCTTTTTATGGTTGGAATTTGTTAATTCAGACAAATATTGTTGTCTGTGTGGCTGGCTCGGTGCTACCGGGTGTACAAAACAGACGTATTCTGTTCTTGAGAATTACTGGCATTTACAAAGTTTTCATTATATTTGTTCTTGGAGCAGATTAGATGTGTCCTAGAAACTGTTTAGAAGAGATTTAACTACTATAAAATGGGCTATTGTACTGTCCTGTTGGATGAGCTGAAAGGTCTCCCTTTATCTTGCAGGTGGTCACCATGGGCCTTTTCCGAACAATTGCTTTGTTTTACCTTGGAAGTTTTGACAATATAGTTCGCCGCTGCATGGTGCAGAAAGCAAAACCTGAAGTTGTAGACAAAACTGCCTAATTCTTGCCCCTTGGACGAAAGACTGAATCCGGTGATCTGAACAGTGTGCTGCTAAAGGAACCCAAGTGTTGGCCTCCAGACTCTTGTGTCTTGTTTTCGAATGTGTGAGATTGGACCCCATGCTCTTCAGAAATCTGTCTCCAAGCAGAGGGACATGAGGCCATCTCTACAATGTTACTGTTAACACTATGCAAATACGGACCAGGACATCTCTAGTTTTCTGGGCTTTGGGGGTGATAGTGTGGGAACTACCATCTCTAGTTTTCTGGGCTTTGGGGGTGATAGTGTGGGAACTA